GCCGTGGTGGTGCTGCGAAGGCGGGGTTTGGGAAGCAAGTGTCTGCACCTTCATCCACCACACAAATAACCCGCTTTTTTCAATGGCCCTGAGTTCTTTAGCGACTCCATCTTCCTTAACCAAAACTCTCAAATGCCCTCTTTTCTGGCTAGACTGTTGGTATTTAAAAATCTTTCAACTCTGCTTTCCGTTTTCAAGTCTTGACATAATCCACTCCTGCAAGGCCTCAGTCCTTAACATGGGGAACGCAGAAGGGTTACAGCCAGCCTTTGGTTCCTGTTGGACCTGGGCGGCAGTGGAAGCTGCTAAGGACAGTGACTCCTCCTCCCCCCCTCCCCCGCTGGCCTGAAAAGGCACAGGTTGGCCCTGACGGTGGTAGTGGCCAGCCTGAGGCCATGCTTCCAGGTGATCTGCATACAGTGTACTCTGGCCTCAGGGCCAAAGCCCTGTTCTCTCAGCAGTAAAACAATCAGGGTTACGTTCCAATAACCAAAGGGCTGAGATTTGGTAATCATCCACTTTTAGAGCATCTAGTGGACATCTGGGACCTTCTCTGGTCAGTTACCTCCTATCCTTAGGAGGCACTCACTTCTGGGAACACTGCCAGTTGGCAGGGCCCCATAACAGAGTCACCAGCACCAAAGCCTCTATGGCACTATCAGCCACAGAGGTAGGCAGGCATGTAGGAGCCAGAGTGCCATTAGGTTTGGTTAGGAGCCAGGACCAGGAACCCTGGCTAACAGTCTAAACCTAGACAACACAGGTCCCATCCCAGACTTGCCTCTGGTCGTCCCGGGACCCTGAGTCATCCAGCTGAATCTACCCAGGTACACTCATCTCTAAAGTGGGCAACCTTCCTCATAGAGTTATCTTGGGAAGAGCCACCAGGACATACAGGAAGCCAAGTGACTGCCTGAAGCATGGGTCAGAGAAGGGGGGTGGTGGTAGCTCTCCTAGGACTGACAGCCACACCCCTACCCACAACACCCATCTCCTCTTTGTGGAGCCACTCTTCCAGAGCTCGAAGCAACATTCTTTTCTTTCCTCTTGGTGTCAAGATTACTCAATTTCAATTCTGCTTCCAGACCGCCTCCAAGATGAACCATGATTAAATTCCCATAAAACCACAAGCACAGAGGATTGCCTGCCCCATGCACATCCCTCCCTGGGGAGGTCGGTGTCCGGGACAGACCATCTGTCACCTCCCCGGTCCATGGGGGAGGTTACGGGAAAAGGAGGGCAGGAAGGTCAACCTCACCCTGAAATCCTCAGAGTCCTAGACCTTGTCCTTTTCCCAAGACCCTTCATATCAGCTATCCCTGAGGACGAGGACACAAACCCATGCTATCCAGTGACCCTCAGATGCTTCTCACATATGGCTTCAGCCAAGTAGGAAACTGGCTAGAGCCATGCCTATAATTGCTCAGCCTGGTGCAGCAGAGCCAAGCCTTGGCTTTGGGGCTTGTGTCTCTGGACTCTGGCCTTGCGTGGCACAGTGGGTTCCTGTGAGAACTGGCCTTCAAATGCATGCAAAGCAAATTATGGTTTGTCATCGTGGCCTCCTCCCCAGCTTCCCGAGACCTGCACCAGGCAGTGTTATGTTTCTGGGAGCTTCCACCTCTAGTCTAGGCTAGGATGAGGCTCAGGGTTGCCTGTGCCTCTGCCTGAGGGATGGGAGTGGTGGTGGATATGGGCACAGGTACAGGCATGTCACCAAGTGACTATCTCCAAGGAGCAGTTATATGAATGAGTCCTGGGCAAGGCTCTGGGTGTGTCATGAAGAAACCTCCTAGCTTCATGCTCTCAAGTGATTGCATCAAGGGGGACTGCTGTTGAGCTCAAGGGCAGAGGCCACACCCCACCCCAGCCAGGGGCCCAATGGCCATTCCAAATGCCACTCACCCATGGGAAAGGCAGGCTTCCCAAGGAGGGGCTCACATTTCTGGTGTGACCTGGCAGGTGACTAGCGTTCCCTCGGATTCCTGTTAGACCTCCTTTCCAGGTGATAGCTTGTGGATTTCAGCAGAGCAAACAGCTGCCCAGACTTATTTCCCCACTCCCTTATAGCTCAGCATAAAGCTAGCTCTGGCCATCGGGGGAACAGTATCTTGCAGCTTCCAGAATCTTCTGAAAGATAAGTAGGGGCTGTTCCCTTTCGCCTGTTCCCCATCCTAAGAGCCAGATCTCGGAATGTGATGGCTAAAGGTTCAGCCAACACTGTGGACCAGGAGGGCCATGCTATCAGAGAATGAGGTTCTGAAAGCTACTGGGTGCTGATCCTCTGGGCACAGGACAAGGGAAACCCCATTTTGCTTATGCTTTGCTGCCATAGCAACTTACACACTGACTGAGGGTTTGAGTCAGGCAGATGTAAGGCAGAGAATGGGTCCTGCTTCCCTTCCTGGCCCTGGGAATATGAGGCTGTCATGTGTTCTGACAGCTGATACTCCCTGTTACCCTGATACTCAAGGGGGTATTTCTCCTGGAGAGTGTTCTGATGGTAATAATGAAGGCCATATCAGCATGGACACTGACCTAGATACCATGTAATTCTTGGGGGCACCTTCCCCGTGGGCCACAGCCATCTTCCCTAGTCCAGAAAAGTCAAGCAACTCTACAGCAACCTCTCCTGGCTCTGGCTTCCCTGAAGGCTGGGTTCTCGGAGAACAGGGAGGGCCCCCTCAGCCTGAGGGTGCTGGAAGCTCAGGAAAGGCTAGGCAAGCCCTTCTCTCTACACAAAAGCCCTGTCGCTTGGATTGCTATAATTATCTGAGGGAATTTCGGGGGTAATTATAGCCTTTTAAAGCATGCCTGAAAAGGGATGTGTACCTCCAAGGAAAAGCCGGGCTTGGGGCACAGGCACAAGGATGCACTTCCCAAGAAGGGTCCCTGCACCTGCAGAGGGGCTGGAGAGATACAGCAGGGGGCCTATCAGGGCACTACTACTGTGGAACTGTCCCCCGTTTGCAGGAAAAGGCCCAGGTCCTCTGCCTTCCTGGAAGAATACAAGTTGGCTTGGTGCAGACAATAGGGAAAATTCTGGGTGCAGCAACTGAAGCCTCCCCCCCAATACTTCCTGCCAGCCCCAAATCATTTGTGCTTTAGGGTTCGATCAATGGTTCTCACAAGCCCTGGCAGTCCAGGCCCTGCCTGGAAGGACCTACATAAATCCCCTTATCCTGCAGCTTCTAGAAGACAATGCCTGGAACTGTGGTTCCGGATCCAGCAAAATGGCTTCTGCCTGGCGTCTTCCCTCCACGGGCATGTCCTCAGCCCCCCAAACCTGTGCTGATGTGAGCCATTGTCAAAAAGGTCATAGGACACAGGGGGTGGCTGTTAAAAACTGCTTCTGGCCATATCTATACCAGTCTGTTGAGAATCTCATCTCACTCACAAGAGCACAACATGAAAAAAAAAAAAAAAAAAGAAGTCCCCATCCTCCTTTCCAGCCTGGCGTTCTCAAGGCCCTTCACAAGCCACCACTTGGCAGCTTTCTGCAATGCCCTCACCACCATGCTCACCTGCAGGCTGGCATCCTCAGTGCTTGCCTATCCTAGCTGCCCACCCAGGAGCTCCTTCTCCACAGGCACCCAGGGAAGGGGTCCCTAGCAAGTGCGGAGCCCTCCCACAGTCCTCTGAGTCAGCTTGCCTCGCTCCCACTCCAGAAAAGACTCTTAGGGCCCACAGCTCCATGTATGAGGCTGTAGTCCAGTGGTTCTCAACCTTCCTAATGCTGTGGCCCTTTAATACACTTCCCTCATGTTGTGGCGACCACCCCTCTCCCCGCCACAAGATAATTTTTGTTGCTACTGTGTTACTGTAATTTTGCTACTGTTATGAATCGTAATGTAAATATCTGTGTTTTCCTATGGTCTTAGATGACCCCTGTGAAAGGGTGTTCGGACCCCAAAGGGGTGTCGACCCACAGGCTGAGAAATGCTGCTGAAATAAAAAAGAAGACGGAGCTTCCTGAGGTCAGGAAGGCCAGGTCTAATGTTAGCCTCAGCGCAGTTCTGGGCAGATGAGCCCACTGCTGGCCATTCTAGACCTTTTGCCCGCTGAAGCCCTGCTCAGAAGGGTGAACTGCCATTTACAAAGAAGCCCCCCTCCGCCTTCCATCTTAGACAGGGTCATAGGCAACAACTACAATAGAAACCAGTGTTGAATGAAGTCTAGGAAATGAGCTATGAATCAACAGTTCCCATGCTCCTCAGATGCCCTAAAAGCACAAGCAAATAGACCCCCATCCTGTAGGTACAGTAGGGATGTCCCAGGAATCAGCGTTTGTGTCTAAGAATAGCAAGGTCCACCTAGGGCCTAGATACCCCAGTTACCTGAGCCCTGGGTTCCCTTTGGAACACACCCACACATCTTAGTCTTCACTGCTCCACTGTAGGACCACATTGTCTGCAACCACCCAGCAGCCAGCCAGCAGGCCCACTACCTCCTGTGCAGGCTTTGGCGGCTCTTGACCACAAGGTGCATGTCACACACACACCAGCCCTGATTTCCCACTCATTAAAGTCTTCAGCGAGCTCTAAGACCCAATAAAGATGTCTGGGCCCTGCAGCTGCAGCGGAGCAGCGAGAAGCTACTGTTTCAGGTGACCCGGTGGGGCAAAAAGGATACCTTGTTTCTACAGATGAAATCCCCATCATTCTAACTGCTGCCTTGAGGATGAACCCCATTACCCCCGTCTAGAGTACACAGGACAGGTTAAGTGACCAGTCCAAGATCACATGGGCAGCTGGAGTCAGATTCCAATCCAGCTTCAACCTGTCTCCCTCCATTGCCTGTTTATTTAGCTCCCTTGTGGCACCTTCCACAGACCCCCACATACACGCCCCCCCCATTCCATGGGCATGCCTAGAACATCAGATGAGGCCGTGAACCTGCCAGTTTTTTCTACCAGCTCACCCTTCTCTCATATATAATGCTACTTGCCCTTTATGAGATCAGTGTCCAACCAACACACCTTCTCACCTGGGGCAACGCAAACCATCCAGACCCAAGGAAGAAGGTTGCTGGCTGCCTGCCCTCAGACCCCACAGTAACTGTAAGTGCTGAGTATCGGGCTGCCGTCAGAAACGAGGCCTCTAGACCCCTCTAGGACAGTCAAGCTCAGCTCTTCCCCAGGACATACACCCCTTAGAGAGGAGGGTAGGGCTCATCAATGTCCCAAGTAGGACCTGGACTGCGCTATGTATCCTCTGGTGGTAGCTGTGAGAGGCGAGCTTAGGGCAGCGCTGGGATACCAGTGTCTGCTAACTCTCGGGCCTCTGCTGTGGTTTAGATACAATGTGTCTCTCCTCCCAAGGTCCTCGTGGTTGGAGGTCCCTAAGGCTGCAGTGTAAGAAAGAGAGAAACCTTTAAGCAGAGTTTCCCAGTCTGTGGATGGCAACCTGGCAGGGTCCGAACAACCCTTTCACAGGAGTCAGGTAAAACCATGGAAAAACAGATATTTACATCACGATGCATTACAGTAGCAAAATTCCAGTTATGAAGTAGCAACGAAAATAATTTTATGAGTGGGAGTCACCACACATGAGGAACTGTATTGCAAAGGGTCATGGCATTAGGAAGGTTGAGAACCACTGCTCTAAGGAGCGGAGACTTATGTGTGTGTGTGGGGGGGGCTCCTAAGGTCAATGGGACTCCTTGGTGGTTCTCACAATGGGTTATTATAAAAGAAGCAAGTTTGATTCCACTCAATTTTTTGTGTCCATGGTTCAAGACATAACCATCTGCTTGTCTCCTTCTGTGTTCCTGCCAGTGTCACCTGCCATGAGGTAATGTAGTCAAGGGACAGCCTTGCCCTGAACTGCTTGGACTTGACTTCAAAACTGAGGTAATTAACCCTTTCCTTTACACAGATAGCTTAGCTCCGGTATTTCGCTATGGTAACAAAAAGCTGCCCAATGCAAGCTCCAGGACTCTTCTGTGAAATGGTCAGGACCTCTGTGTCTAGCAAACAGCACTGACAGACAGAACATGAGAAGTTTCAGGCCAAGCACATGGTGCTTCTCCAGTAAATGGATGCTTCCATAGCCCTGTCCCCTCATTCAGGACTACCTCTGATCCTGCCCACCAAACTGTGCTCCCTGGTGCCGCCCCCACAGAAAAGGACCATTGAGGTCAGGGTTCAAGGCATCTTAGGCCACAGACATGGTCTACATGAGGGGCAGCCGGGGGGAATTACTCAGCAGCCCATGGGCAGAGGCAAAAGAAGGAACTATTGCTTTAAATGAAAATGAAATGCCTCAGTAGGCAGAACTGGGGCGGGAGACTAGGCATTTACCTTTCACAAGGATCTTTCTAGAATGTCTGTCTCACAGAAACCTACACCTTGAAAAGGCAGTCTGCAGCCAGGTGTTGGTGGCATACGCCTTTAATCCCAGCACTCAGGAGGCAGAGGCAGGCAGATCTCTGTGAGTTCGAGACCAGCCTGGTCTATAAGAGCTTGTTCTGGGACAGCCTCCAAAACAATACAGAGAAACCCTGTCTCGAAAAAAAGGCAGTCTGTGTTCTTCTGGGGCTGCCCTGGTCCCTGGTGGGGTCAGGTGGGCTAGAGAGACAAGACCTCTGGATAAGAGCCAGCAGCTGGCAGAAGCTCAGCCTCGAGGGGCAGGCTCTGCCTAGGGGAACGGCATGTCCCCCCAGGTGCCCAGCAGTGGCACTGTGCGTCTCTCTGATTTGACTGAAGGCCCCTGATTTCCCACTGTCTCCTTTGCCCTGACACCAACCATTCCGCACACACTCCCATTCCCTAACCACAGTGCTATCAGGAAACCTCATCTCCCCCCAGGGGTTCAGCACAGCAGTCAGAATATTCCTTGTATTTCTTAACCCTGCTTGCCAAAGAGAACACAGGCCCCCATAACTCAATTCCTTCCTGTGTGCAAGTGCTCAAGACAAGATTCCTTGCCCTTCCTGGCACATTAATAACCTGTGACCACAGAGGTGGGTGGGCCACCTGTCAGGAGGCTGGGCCGCATGTGTCCATACCTTTCATGTAGGCCTCAATCCTGCGGATAAGCTCGTAGGACTTGGAGCGGTCTAACAGGGTCCTGATGGCGGGGAGGGGGTCCAAGACGATGGTCTCGGGGTGTGCATCAATGTACTCCTGAAAGAAAAGCCCACTTATGGTTAGAGGAGGGGTTGATGCTGCGGCAAGGGCAGTGACAAGACTGTGTGCCCACAATCCTCCACGCATCTGTTGCTCTCCTGAGCCTTCCCCATCTCAGGACTTTGGCTAAACTAATAATGGGTCCAGAAGATGACCTTGCATCTGTCCAATCAGAGGCCGACTTGGGGCTCTGGCTGGGATTCTGGGACAAAGGGGTTCCCTGTCCCTTGAAGGAAGAAACACAGAGACGGGGTATCTGTTAGCAGGCACAATGGGAATTTAAGCAGAGGTATGTCTCGGTACACAAGAGCAGCCACGTTCTGATGAGGCCATTTGCCCCTCAGGTAGAAGCTATGGCTGGATCCAGACCTGGTCTATGTGCTCAGTAAGCTCCATCAGAGTGCCAGTCCAACGGCCTGCACCAATGGAGAAGGACTCCAAGCAGAGAGGAAAGGTGTAAGGACTCATAGAAAATCCGTAAGAATGTATGATGAACAGGGCCACACCACTAAGTGCTCAACCTTGTCAGAAACGTGTCAATCAGAAGGGCTTCCCCTTCAACATCGAGCAGTTGTTTGATGGGCACTACAGAATCTCAAGGGAAATGAGGTGAGGTGGGGTTAAGCCTTTGGGGAATCTGCATCATCCTGGGAAGGAGCAGGAGGCTTGGGGAGATGGAGCAGCCAGTGAAGGGCTTGCTGTGCAAGCTTGAGGAACTGAGTTTAATCCCCAGGCAGGTAAAAGCAGGGCATGGTTGTTCGTGCTGTAATTCCAGCACTAGGGGAGAGGAGGCAGGCAGAACCCTAGGGCTTGCTGGCCACGCAGCCAATCCTACTTGGCAAGTGCCAGGTCAGCAAAAGAACATCTCAAAAAACAAGGTGGATGGTTCCAAAGGACTAAAACAGTCGATGGTGATCTCTAGCTCCCCCCCCACATGTACACATATGTACATGCACTCACACCTACGTGTACAAGAAAAGCCACCCTGTCGTGACTCCAGGAGCCCCAGGCAGAGTGAGTCAGAGCCACTTGTTGACAGATGGAAATGAGACTGTCCTCTCTGGCTCTTCAAATTCATAATCTGAAGGATATAATTACAAGATGCTGAAGAGAGAGAGCGTCAGTAAAAAGGCTGGGCTGGAGGAAGGCCCTTCCTCAGCACCTGTGAATATGATATGGACTTATTTGGAAACAGTCTTTAGCCCTCATCAAGTTGCAGGCCCTCCTTTGGCCTCCAGGCATAACTATTAGCCCCGCTAATATCTGGATTTTAGAATTTCAGCCCTCAATCTATGACAGAACGAATTGCTTTTAAGTCACCAGGCATACCGTCAAGACAGCCTTGGGAAAAAAAAGCACCCACATTCAACTTTATCACCGCTGCCTTCAAGCCAGCCCCACCCTGGTCCACACACCAGGCTGAGGTCAGCAAAGGTCAGGGGGGAAAATACCCATAGTGCTGCTTCTCTAGTAAGCTTTATCAACACAAAGTAAGATCCCGAGTGTTTTAAGAGAGCCTGTTTTTGCTCCTAGTATCACTTTGAGAGCATCTGAGTCAAAGCCAGATTCATACTCACTTTGTCTCAAACTGTCCTTCCCATGAACTCGCACAGGACTTCCTTTCTGTCCTCTCCCCTGAATGCTTAAATCTCCCTCTCTCTCTTGGATGTGCGCCACCTGGGAGGCCTCTGTGCTGGCACCAACTCTAGCAGATTCCAGTCACCTAGTCACTCCTGAGCTGACTCCCTTTGCCCCACGGCTGCTTAGACAGCCACTATGCAGCTCCATGAAGAACGGCCATTAGGCCACACGGCTGTGCTCACTGCACTCTTACCTAGTCTCGGCTTACTAAGAGCTGTTCCTGGGCCCTGCTGCCCCCATGGGGGCTTCTCACGGGCGGGCATCCCTGCTGGCCTTTCCTTCATCGAAGCATGCTGACACACAAGCCCACTCGTCACCCATCCCGCTCACAGGGCCTTACAAAATGTGACTACAAATGTCAGTGCTGGGGTGTCTTGCAGGTGCAGCAGATACACCAGTGAAGAGAAACTCTACACCCAGCTCCCAGCTCCATGCTCTTGGCCAGCTCTGAAAGTCCCAGACCCTCAGTACTCGGGAGGCAGACTCAGGCCGATCTGCATGAGATAGAGGCCAATCTGGTCTATAGGGCAAGTTCCAGGGCAGCCAAGGCTACACAAAGAAACTATCTAGCAAAGCCAAAAAACAAAACAAAACAAAAAAGGTCCCAATCCCTCAAACCCCTTCCCATTCCAGTGCTTCCAGAAGCAGCCTGGTGTTCTAGGACATGACAGGAACCAAGGCAGCCAGCCACTGGGCTTCTCAGGGTCTCTCAAGACACTGCAGGCGACCCTGCAGGTTCTTGTACAGACAGCCTTAAGTTCCAAGAGTCTATTCGCTGGAGAAACCTGAGGAGCAGAGTTTCAAGGCCACATGAGGATTCCCTGGAGAGAGAGGGGCAACTGTTTGCTGGCAGCACTTCAGGTGACACTCACCACCAGGGGATGACTGGTCCCCCCAGCAGCTGAAGCCACCCAAACCCTGACATACATTTCCTCCCTATGCCCCAACAAAGCTCATGTGGTCCCATGTTCCTGCACTAGGACAGAGACCTTTAAATAGAACCCGATATCACCAAGGCAGGAATTTAAGCCAAAATCACAAGAGAAAGAAGTCACATGAAACCAGAGAGGGAAGCAGTCTGACAAGCAGGCGCCAACAAGCTCGGGCCTCGGATGAAAGCAGCGGTGTGCACGGAAGAATCTGTGCCCAGGCGAGCCGTCTCTCTGGAGACGGAGTGGGGCGAAGGCTTTTCCCAGCTTCCCTGTGATCACAAGTGCGGTTTTCCTCCCAGCTTTTCAGCTCCTCCATTGTATGGAGGGCTGCATGCATTTTTCACAAATCTCTTAGAATTGCCAAAAAAATTGCTGGAAGAAAGACGCAAACCATCACCACGGCAAATGGTAAACACCCATTCCCCCTGAGGGCTGGCCTGCCCAAAGGGGCCAGGGTGAGACCCTGAAGTGAACAGGGGAGTCTGGTCTTTCCACAGAAACGGACAGCCTGGGCCCAGTAGGGTCAGGAGCAGGCAGAAAGTTCCACTGTCAGAGGGGATAAGGAGGCAAAGGCGAATTAGGTGCCCACTCGGAGCACAGGCTGGTCCAGGTCCAGGCACGATGCCCTTAGGGGCACTGACGACACACTGTGGGGTGACGGGGAGACAGTTTCACCCTGCCATCTGAGATAAATGAGAAGGATGGGGGAGGATCTTCCACATCTCTGCAGTCCCCTGGCAGGGAGACGGGCTTTTCTCTCCCACAGGAAAGTGCCACCAGGAGCTCCAAATTCACATCTTGCCTGTGCGTTACAGTTAGTTTTTGCCGACCAGATACAAACCTAGGCAATTCCTAGGAAGAAGGAATTCTCTCACTTGAGGAATTGCTCCCACCAGACTGGCCTGAGGAAGCAATGTCACATCTTGACTGCTAATTGACGGCAGAGGGTCCATCCCACTGTGAATAGTGCCTTCCTTGGGCGGGTGAGCCTGGGTCATTTAGGAAAGGCAGCGTGGGAAACAGCCTGTAAGCAGCATTCCTCCATGGCTGCTGCTTCAGTTCCAACTTCTGGGCTCCTGCCTCAGCTTCCCTTGATGACGGGATGGCAACCATAAGCTGAAATAAACCCTATTCTCCTCGAGCTGCTTTTGGCCAACACAGCAAGGGGAGGAAACTAGGACACCGTGTCACGTCTTCCAAGGCTCTGGAGTCTGCAGTTCCATGACGTGACCTAAGCTCTGGATAAGGCAACCCCAGGGAGCTGCTCACGATGACCAATGCATAGAGGGTGGGTAGGACATGGGGAAAAAAGAAAGAGTCCTGCATTTTGCAACATGGGACTCAGCAAACCCCTGGGTTTGAGTCCCTGGGTTCACCCTGTCCTCACCCTGAAGACTCTCAGGGTCACCCACTGTTGCCCCAAGAGGTCCCAGTCTCCCAAGGACACGTATGAGCACAATCCCACTGAGTGTTCTCCCAGAGACATCCCTGTATATGATACCCACCTGTGTGCCCAGACCAGCAGGGGCTAGCATCAGAGCATCATTTGGCTTTGGGAGGAGACACACTGGGCATCTTGGCCCTGCAGGTCCTAACCATGGGCTCCTGTGAATCAGGAGGTGTGTGTTTCAGTAGCACCTGACCAAACGAATGGCGGGAATGATCCCAGTCAGAACTGAACAGGCTTTCCAAATAGCTGTTGAAGATTACTCTCATGGGAGCTGCTATGAAAAGGGGGTGACCTGAGGCCTTTTCAGTGTCACGTTCCTCCTCTTAGTTCCTCTGGGCTGGCCTTCTTATGCACTCCTCCCATGCTGGGTGGGAGCCTGGAGTCTCCTCATCACCAACGCTGTGGTACCATGATGGACCTGGGCTCACCTCTAGGGTGGATTACTGCTAATATACCTAATAGACACAGGTCACAGATGCACTTTTCTCATACCCACACTATCAAGGAGGTCCTGCTAGCAACCTCTCTAACAAACAAGCCAGGGCTCATTGCACCTCAGTGAAAGAAGGTCCCTACGGGATGCTGGCTCTGATACTAGGCACAAGGAAACCTGGCTCCAGGAAGGTCAACTCAATCACACCTGGGCCAGAACCACCCAGCTCATTCCTAGGAAGCCTTTCCCGTGTGCCGCAGCGGGGTTATGGCCTGCAGCCTAATGGCTGCACAAACTGAAGCAGTCCACATGGCAGCGTGATAACGCACACAGGAAAAAGCTGCCCAGGGAGGCTGCGTCCTTCTCTCCCAGTGTGGGAGTCCTGTGAATCTGCAAGCAAAGGAAGATCCCTGAGGCCAGCCCGTCTTCTCGGGAAGGAAGTAGTAACTATGCCAAGGTTCCCAGCCCTCGATTAAGACTAACATAAATGAAGACAGATGCCCTTGGGAGATTTCATTAGTGAGTGACGGTCCAAGTGGGTGCTTATAAGGAAGATTCCAATGGCTCAGCGCGGGGTTCTGAGGCATAGGAGTAACACAGTGCGGGGCAGGGCAGTAATGGAAGAATGCTAAGGAATAAGGAGATCGCATGGAGGGGAGACGATGGCCCTCAGTGGAGTCAAGGAAACCATGCTGCAAAGGTACAGCTTGGTTCTGCACAAAGGGAAACCTGACCTCAGAATGCCAACACCATGTAAGGATGGAGACTTAGGCTGTCGCAGTGGGGAGGACAGGTAGGCAGTGGACCTTCTAGCAGATCAATGGAGTCATGACGTCAGCCCACTGTTGAAAGACTTGACATCAACCAAGGCCAAGCCCAACATCCCCCCAGGCAATGCTTTTCTTCCCATCACCTGCCTGTTCACCACAAATCACTCAGTTGCAAGTGTCTTGATGCAGAAGGGCATGTCCAGCTGGCACCAGGTCTAGTGCAGGCCAGA